CATTGTATACAATTAGAATATACACTAATGTATGTATCTATAATAAGAATGATAGAATCCAATATGGTCTCAACCTATAAAGGGTTATAAGCCTTATTGAAAAGAAATGTTTTCAAGCGTTTCTTAAACACAGAAATGTTTTCACAGTTCCTGACATCCAGAGGCAGAGAATTCCATAATTGTGGAGCAGCATGTGCGAAAGCCCGATCTCCTAGAGTCTTACAGTTTGTTTTCGGGATGTGTAATAGACCTTGACCATCCGATCGTAATGTCCAACGATCACTTGATTGTTTTGGTATAAGCATTTCAGAGATATAGATAGGGGCAATGTTATTAAGAGCCTTGTAAACCAGTAAAGCAATTTTGAATTCCACCCGGAAATTTACCGGTAGCCAGTGAAGTGATCTCAAAACTGGGGTGATGTGAGAAAATCTTGGACAGTGGTAGATTAGTCTAGCAGCGGCATTAAGAACTCTCTGCATTCGCTGGACTTGATACTGAGGTATGCCAGCCAACAGAGCATTACAATAGTCCACGTGTGATGTCACGAAAGCATGTATCAAAGTTTTCGTTGTATTAGTAGATAAAAATTTTCTAATTTGTCGTATTTTATAGAGTCCTCTGAATGCTTTACTGCACATCTTGCCTACATGAACTGACATTGACATATGCGTGTCAAACCAAGATCCCAAATTTCGAACACTATCAACCGGCTTAATTTGGACCCCACCAACGTTAACGGATTCAATGTTTATTTTCAAAAGTTGTTGTGGTGTACCAATTACAAGAAATTCCGTTTTCGAATCTTTGAACATTAATTTATGAGACAACAGCCAAGTACGAACATCAGAAATACAATCTTCCAGTGCGGCTAGGGTACTTTCTGCATTATCTTCACAATCTGGGCGAAAGGATACATAAAGTTGCGTGTCAACAGCATATCCATGAGAAGAGGGTAAGTGCCTGTCAATAATGTCATATAGTTGGGATACATAAAGCAGAAAAAGTATGGGGCCAAGACAACTCCCTTGAGGCACTCCGTACTTAACATCGCAGTCTTCAGAAAAATTGTTATCCAGATCAACTTTCTGTTTCCTGTTGAATAGATATGATTTTATCCATTCAAGAGCCCTATCCGTCACTCCAAATTGATACTCCAATACGTCAATGATAGTTTTATGATCAATTGTATCGAACGCTGAGCTTAAGTCCAAGAGTACAAGAAAACACACTTCCTGCCTGTCCATACTCAGAAGAATATCGCTTTGCACCTTTAGCAGAGCCGTCTCTGTCGAATGATATTTCCTGAAGCCAGATTAAAACCTTTTAAAGCTTAAAACATCAGGATATTGGTATGCAGAATTTGTACAGTGCTTAGAATATCACTCAAAGGCGAAGCATAAAAACAATGAAAGAAAATTTTAATGTCTTTAAAATAGTTATTATTAATTAATAGTATTATTATAAGAACATTCAGTGATTAGAAGTATATTACCGTTGAGCTTGCAAGTCTATCAAGAATATTCTTCTCCTGGGCACTAGTCAGCTGATATTTCACATTTTCATTCGTAAATACCACTTTGAGTGATTGAGAAAAAAACTCCACAGGAATGCTTGCGTATTCTTTATAACTATACACAAAATATACAGAGTATAAAATCTCGAACGGTGGGTGTCGCCAGTGCATGTAGGTAGCCCAAAATACAAACGGTGGCGGAAACTGGGGGGAGGGAGGGGGGGGGCAGGGCGAAGAGATTTACTAAAATTAGGCTGAAAACATGTATATTCCTCACAAAACGTACGCAAGCATGCGTCGAAAACGAACGAAAAATCGAAAACCTTGTTATCAAAAGAATGATTTTGAGAATAATATTAACTTTTTTATAGTACGGTATATTTTAGGATACTTCGATACACCGTAATACCTGTTAAACAAACTTTGTCTTATACAGAGCGCGAAATAACGGCCGGTCAACGGACAATGTCCGGTAAAATGACAAACTAATCTTCATTTGAATTAATAATCGAAACAAAGTTGTCAAGTATTATAATTAAGAACCATAAGATGTTGTCGAATATTTTGCGGGAAAAGAACTTCAATGTACGCCCATGCATGGCCATGCTTTTGGCTTAAGAGTTAAAGGTCATGCTTTTAGCGCAGTGCAAGCTGTTTTATGAGCCTTTATGTGAAGGAGTTTTTAATTACTGATTACAGTATAAGGCTTTTTGTAATGCTAAAAAAAATATGGGAAAATAGTCCCATTTTTAGGGAAAATAGTCACATTTTTAGGGGTATACTTTACTAGGCTTTGCTTTTAGCTGAATAATTTGACCGGCCAGAAATTCGGTATGTCCAAGCTAAAATTGAGTTGGCCGGCAACCTTGACCGGTGAGACCCTGCAGCCTTTATTTCGCGCCCTGTTATAGTATCTCTGCTCTTCTCAATAGATGTAGTAATGTTAAATCTTTATGTTGTTTCCTTTCTTACAAATATTAAATATCCATAACGGCGATAACTTGGCGTGTTCTACCAAGATCCTGACATGATTATTATATTTGGAAGACCATGATGAGAGATGATGGCAAAGAATATGGAAATTGGTATTTACTAAGAACTTGGCAAGCTCTAGCTATGATCATGGCAAGATCATGATCAGATAATTGTAAGATCGTGACAAGATTATGGTAAGATCATGACAAGATCGTGGTAAGATCATGGCAAGATCATGGCAATAGCATGGCAAGAACATGCAAAGATCATGGCCTAAGTTCTTGCAGGATCATGCAGGATTTTTTGCAAGATCAGAACAAGATAATGGCAAATTTAATCATTTAATGGCAAGAACATGGCAAGTTCTTGCAGGATCTTGCAACGACCTTCTAGGGTTTCTTTTTGCAAAATCATGGCAAGCTCATGACAAGATCATGCAGGATGATGTAGGATTTAGACAAGATCTTGACAAGATAATCAGCCCTCGAAAACGAGGTCGGCATTCGGCAATGCCGACCTAAATGCCGACCTATCAACCTCCCAGGTCGGCAAAGTTTTGCTGACCTTAATTCAGCCAAAGTAAAAATTTGTTGGTGCTGATAGCTGTTAAAAAGTCAGCGATTATAGAATTTGATTTGTAGTTCGATGAACTAAACACACTTTGGTGAAAGGTTTAAAAATTGACGGGTATTCTATATATAATTTTTGGTAAGACTCCAAAAAAAAGCAGTCATGTTACTGTAGTCAGGGGCTTCAGAATAAGCCGGCGGCCGGCGGAGTTCCGCCGGCTACTTGAACTTTTACCGCCGGCTACTTTTCGTCTGGTCACAGGAAACATTTTATATACAAAGGTACAAGCGAACCAACACGATGTTTGTTATGTTCTAATTGGAATTCAAGTTGGCCTCGAATTTCCCTGAAATCAATCGACGCGGCAATGGCGTTAAAAATTGCCGTAGAACGTGACAGCTGTCTACGGCAATTTTGTCAGTTTCCACGGCATTTTTTCAAATTACTGTTATTAGTTATAAAAATTTAATTTTATTGTTACTTTGGATTGCGACAAGCTAGAAACATGTTTACATATTTCTTTAGTGTTTTTTTTCCGAAGAAAACTGAGACTAAAATGGTAATTCACGGATGATTTGATCAACATCTGAATTCAAGTATCAAACTAGTAAAGCACAGTGAACAGTTTAAAAATTATACTATACGGCAAAAAATTGCCGTCGTTGCCGCAATGCCAATGATCCACTGGCAATTTGTTCTCCCCCTACGGCAATTGCCGCGATAAAATTCAAGCCCCAATTCATGCAAAACATCACTTATTTTGGAAGATCAATAACATAAATTAATAATACATAGTACCAAACATAGCAAAAGAAAGAACAAGTGATGAAGTGAAGTTCATTACGTACATAAGTGTAACATCATTTGATTAATGATTTCGGACTCATAAATTAATACTATTACTGTAGTGTACAATTGTCATTCTGTTCGTGCAGCTGCAAAAATTAAACTACTAGTAGCACATTAAAGTACATTGTCACTTACAAGTATAAATGCAAATGACATCTAAATCTAACATGTTAACAGTTGTACTTTGTCTTTTTACGTATTCTATATTATTTGATTGTTAATTTGCGGCGAAATTTTTTTAAATTTCCATGTGAGGGCTACCCTGGATTCCAGAGCCTTCAGTAAATAATAAATTGAAACGTCGTGAAGGCTCTGGTTCAACGGGGTTCTTTGACCGCGCCAATCACAAAACAGAATTAGTGGTTTTAGTACAGGTTCTGTACTAAAACCACTAATTCTGTTTTGTGATTGGCACGGTTTAATCAAAGAATCCTCCAGTTGAACCAGAGCCTTCACGACGTTTCAATTTATTGTTTACTGAAGGCTCTGGAATCCAGGGTATGCGAGGGCACGCTCCTCTCCCCGTGCGATTTTTTACCTATCATGGTCACAGCCGGCTATTTTTTGGTACAACCGCCTA